TGAAGATACCAAATGGACATTAAAAACACATACTAGTAATCCAAAGAGAAACTGACCACACCCTGGCAAAATACGTAAATCAACCAAAAGGAAAACAACAGTTACTTTTCACAAGATATATCCACAGCACACTTTAGGAGTTGTAAGTGTACTGTCAATATTTTGGGTCATATACATATTTAGGAACTTTTCCAAGAGGTCCGTGCAAATATATTTTGGATTTTGTTTTGCCAAAAGATCTGCGCATACATGTAGTTGAATAGTCTTCTAAAATGATGGCTACACATTCAAAGCGGTTGGACTTATTGTAAATGGATTTGACTCGAAAGTTTAGAATATAATATTGCATATATCTTAATCTCGGTTTACTCTTTGGTAGACGATGTCTTAAATGTTTGCCATGAATAGTCTGCAATAGCAATTTGAATCATTGAAATTTTACGTGATGTGCTTATGGACATATGGGGAAATTATTGCAAAAATTCCGTAAGCAATATTCCACTGGATTTCAAACATTTTCTGTATTTAATCCCGTGACTAGATGGAATAAATTCAGGAGCAATAGTCATGCCGTTTAATAATAAAACTCCTTGTTAAAAACAAGAATTGCCATAATGAAATTAAATGTTCACATGGTTTTCTTAACGAAAATACGGTGATCAATTCTGGGAATAACGACGATACAGCGGACTGGGTATCGTTAGGGACAAGCTTTTTCTGCTTTATTTATATGATGTTTTTGTTATTTTACTCTTATAGCTTGAGAACTGTTCGACATTGTTTTTCAAAATTCAATATTGGACAAATGGATTACCAATGTCAAATTTGAGTTTGACGATTTATCCGAGTTTGCTGTAGTTTGGCAGTCTCGTGGTTTAAAAGAATTGATAAAAAAATGTAATCATGAGTGATCATTGTTAAATTCCGTAAATCGAAGAAAAGTGAGAAAAAAATGTATGTTTTCAAACATATGTATGTTCGATTCATAATGTTTATTTTTAAATTATTTTATTTGAAGGTGACCGATGTTCAGAAAAGAGATTTAATCGAATGAATTTGTACATATGGCATATAACTTCGTCTTTTTTTTTCATTGAGAAGCGCTTTTGGCGAACTAATAACTTCCCGTACTGTAATTTCCAAAAAAAATGAAAGTTATTGTACGTTATGACGACACTGAATAGAAGCTGTAGTACATGCTGGCTCCTTAACACACATCTTTACAATTTTTAGAACAGATGCTGTCATAGGCAAACACATGAAACCATGGCACAACACACTACATATAAAACTAAAGACTGAGCAAAACGAAACATACTAAAATTCTGGGGAGATCCAGAAGAGCAATATTTGGGTCAAGTCAGATATGTACGTCCTTGGTCAGATATTTGGATCAGCAATGATTTGGTCTTTGTTCTCGGATTGTGGAAATTGTAGGTAATTACGGCCACTGAATCGATACCTCTGCTTGTGGACTGTAAGTCTCGAGGGTGTCATCAGCTCAGTAGTCAGTACTTTGCAATTTGCTGCCTTAAATTTTTTGAAATTATTTTAAATGAAAGGAATATATACCCTTCATTCAAAGCTCTGATTCCTTGTCCAGATCTGGTTATACCATTGGTCCTTTTTGAATGTGTCAACTCTTAAAATGTACCGTTCATGTTATATAAACAATTGATATGATATAATATGAATCTCCATTTTAGGGTCAAGTACAACAGATCAATGATAGAAATAATTACGGTTGACATACTTGGGGAGGCCTGCTACGAATGATTCTGACAACAAAGGTAGGCGTGTTATACACCATCGTGTAGATAAATCAATTTAGATTTACGACATAAACAAGTTTCAGTGGGATTTACAACCGTCAAATCGAAATATAACGAAAGTTCGCGACCGGGTGACATTTTAAAAAATGCGAGTTAAGTACCTTGTGTTATATTAAGGTTTATAGGGGAAAAAATTCTGAGACAAGTGCCTGTGGTCTTTGGCCAGATATTTAAATCCTCAATAATTCGGCCTTTGTTCTCCGATTGTAGAAATTATAAATTATTCATGTGAAAGCTATCTTCTCGATGAGCAACAACAAAAGGCCATACATTTACTTGGAGATGAATTTTACATTATTAATATATTATCTTCATTATTATCGTCATTCTGTAAAGCTTGGAGGAAAACGAATCGCTACAATGAAAACCAAAGATTAAGCAAAATCAACCAACAGCAAAAATCCTCAATAGGCTAAAAGATTAAAAAAGGATAAGAAGTTACTACGGTATTCCATTACATCAGATAAGGTGTTTCGGCTTACTTTCATTGCCTCTCCGAAATTATTATACTAGAAAACATTTTCTTAATGCATTATACATGTTACGGACTTCAGTAATTTCGATATAAATTAATCCAGTGCATTTCTTGGTTTTAATTTATTTTGTGGTTAACTGTATATAATTAAAGATTATAACATGTCCTTTTCCATATCGGCCCTAGTATCATCCCGAGACTCACATATCAGTCCAAGGCGCTAGCCGAGGGCTCATATGGGTCGAGGGATGATACCAAGGCTCATATGGAAAAGGACATGTTATAATCTATTTATCACATATTATACAAATGCTTAAATAAGTAGAATACATTTTTGTAATTCCAACTGGCAAGATAATACATTTTTGTCCGCCACTAAAATAAGTTTATTATCAAGAAGCTTAAAACTATTGTCCTTGAATATTATTATGCCAATGTCAGATTTTTTTTTTTATTTAATGTCTACAATTGTTTGGTGTGTTTGAGATTTTCATTTTGCCATTTGATAATGAGCTTTCCGTTTCCACATTACAGAGTGAAAATGTTCCATAAAAACCAAGCCAATACCAAAGCCCTTTGTAACACAGATCCTTACCTTTGTCATAATGATATATACGGGATTGAATAGAGAATGGAAATGGGGAATGTATCATAGAGACGACAACTCGACAAAAGAACAGAAAACAGCCCAAAACCACCAATAAGTCTTCAATGCAGCAAGAAAATCCCGCACCCGGAAGCGGGCTTCAGCTGGCCCCTTAGCAATGATGTCTACTAGTTCAGCGAAATGGACGCCACACTATCTTTGGTTAAATACAGGAATTAGGGAGGCAACATAATTGTTGTATAAAATAGGAAAAAGAGGCACAACAGACGGATCTGATTTATCAGATATGATACATCGAAAGTGGTAGAACCAGTTTCCTCTAAAAGAGGGACGAAAGATACCAGAGGGACAGTCAAACTCATAGATCGAAAACAAACTGACAACGCCATGGCCAAAAATAAAAAGACAAACAGACAAATAATAGTACAGATGACACAACATAGAAAACCAAAGACTAAGCAACACGAACACCACCAAAAACTGGGGGTGATCTCAGGTGCTCCGGAAGGGCTAACTTTATTTCAAACCAGGTCCATTTTTATTGTCCTTCATTCTTTACTATGATGAGTTAATTTGCTAAAGTTCACAGTATCAAATACTAGTATTCATTCGTTTAAAGGTATTCACAACATTTTGTACCTTTCAAACCATTTAAACAAATTATAAATTTCTAAAGATGTGAACTCTAATTTCTATATTTTTTTGCCAAATTAAAGAAATTATAAAATTTTCAAGAAGACATTATTACCAAAAGTAAATTTTTTTATATACTGTTTACATCTATATGTCTTAGTTATTTACGTCATTTTGATGCTGTCTCATTTACATGCATCCCATATCTAATTTAATTCAAATACAAATTATTTCATATTGGTGAAAGTACAATTGGCAATTTTGTGCACAATGGCAATACGTAGCCCTAAATAACATAGTTTTATGGAAATAATTGTAACATGAGACTTCAGTATGTTGTATCATATTCTGATTTTGACCTAGTGGCTTCAAAGGCCATATCACTCTGTGAACTCTCAAAGGGTTAACTAGGGAAAAGCTCTTGCAAGGACTGCAACACCTTAACCATATCAGGATAAAAATTATAGCAAATGTCATATACAGACAATATATACTATGTAATGGATGTTGCAATGACAAAACGGCTTCTAATTCAATACTACAATCTAGTAGCGACAACATTTTAGATAACTTGGAAGATTATATGATATTGCTTGCATAGTAAGTTTTATAAAATGCAAATGTTAGGTAGAATGGAAAAAAATCGGTTTCTAGACAATAAAGACACAGGAAAGCCAAAGGGACATAATTCGACTCAAATAGAAAAACACCAACATTATCATTGGAAATGGCTTTTTTTCATTACAATGACTGAGCAACTGACATATTGCTCACATTTAATAATCAAATGAGTAAAGAGACCCATTAGAAAGGGAAAAAAACTTATTCATAAATCTAATTACCATAGAACTTTAAATTATACACAAACTTTAACGGGCCAAATTTCAACATTTAAATGTGAATAACTGAACCACAGTCATGATGACAATGACCATTACAGAAAGTAATATAGAATCAAAGATCTTTATAGCTCTTAATGAGGAATGAAGATACACCAAAAGGATAACACGAATAGCGAAAAATATTTGACAGTCAACTTAATCACACCTACCTGGACTACTCCGATCAAGTAAATCGTGAAAACATACTTTAGTTATTTTGAGACATATAAAACTACATATATAAAATATTGCCTATAAATTTTGACAATTAAAAATTACATTACTCTGGAATAGCAAATATAAACATATTTGAAACTTATTCAGACCCCAAGACTACTATGACTTACAATTTGGTGAAGTTTGAATTAAATATATCGGTCACTTTAATAGGCAAACTTGATTATCGACATTTGAAATATTGTTTTCTTTTGAAGAAATGTCAAATGAAAAGTAAATCAAACAGTAGATATCAAGTTATAAATAAGTAAAGTTGGGTGCTTATCGATTAATACAAACAGTAATCTGTACACATGTACTGTATTCCTTCCTTGTATCACGTGTATAGGGGACGATGATGGCGTCATCCATTAAGAGTCATATCGTTGATATAACTACATGTGCTATCTGTCTAGAGAAACTTAACATTCCGAAGTATTTACCTTGTTTACACACATTTTGTGAAAGTTGTCTAAATACCTATATTTCTTCTGGAATTGAAAAAGGACAAAAACAAAGTATTGAATGTCCGGTTTGTAGGACAAGTGTAACTGCACCGATTGAAAATTGTTCACCAGCGGAATGGATAAGAGGACTGCCTCTAAATTTTCTCATTGTTGGACTTTTGGAAAAGGAAAAAGTACAAAATCCGCAAAAACAATGTATGGTATGTGAACGAATGGAAGCAAAATCAGACGCCAGTTTTGTTTGTATTGAGTGTTCTGATCTGCTATGCTCTAGCTGTGTAAAACACCATACAGCTAGTAAACTTTTATGTGATCACGAAATCAGACCTGTGGAAGAAGTCGTTTCTGACTTGAAATCCTTGAAAACATTCAAAAACAAGTGTACCGAACATAAAAGTAAAGAACTTGAGCTTTTTTGTATTGACCACGAAACTCCGTGTTGTTCCATGTGTGTAAGTATTTATCATCGTAAATGTGAGAAAGTCATAGCAATTGAAGATGCTGCCAAGAAATTTTTAACTTCAAATAAAGTCGAAAATTTGAGAAACGAGTTGAAAAAAGTTGATTGCGATGTGAAAGATATTATTTCAAATCTCGATATGCAAGTTGGAAAACTGCAATCACAGTTTAATAACAAACAAAAGGAACTTGAAGATAGTTTCAATAATCTTGTGACCATGATTTGTAACCTGAAAGATAAACGAAAATCAGAAATGTTAAAACATTATAATGAAGCAAAACAAGATATTGATTTTTTGAAATTGGGCTTCGAAAATATTGATAAAAAAATTGAAAACGAACAGCAGATACTTGAGACATGTGTGACAGAGGCTTCAGAGACCCAAATTATGCTAGAGGTACAAAAGGTATACAAAAATTTAAATGGACATAAATCTTTTATATCAAGTCAGTTGGCAGATATTAAGGAATACAATCTTTCTTTTAAGAAAATTCCAGACATCAGCCTAAATTTAGAGAAGGCATTTGAGGTAGTCTTTGAATACTCAAAATCAAAAATAACTGTGAAATCTTGTAATACCGATATTTTAGCTGTAAATCGATTTAGAACGATACATCCTTTTTGGGCATCAAAGGGAGTTGATGCAATATGCTTTTCCGTATCAAAAAACATACTACTACACGGATTACTATCTTATGGATGTGCAGATGGGAAGTCGATTTGCAAAGTTACCGCTACTTTGAAAGAAAATACGAGTGAACTTATTGTAGTTTCAAAGAATTTAGATAGTAAAGAAGCTGAAAATGGTTTGCTTAGAATTATTTTTCCTGATCCAGTAAAACTTTCAACCAATACAAAGTATCATGTAGTGGTAGATATGGAAGGACCTAAGTACCAATATGGCATGCAAGGAAAGTCAACAATAACTCAAAACGAAATTGTGTTCAACTTTGAGAATTCGCAATATTCGAACCTTGATACAAACACAACCAGAGGACAGATTCCAGGATTTTTATTTAGTGTTACATAGTGTGATGATCCGTACTTTCATTGAAATTTACACGTACACATACATTTCTAATTGTGGGTCCTTAATTATGATTTCGTTGCTTGTATATACATCTGTACCAGACTTATCAGTAAGATACATAAAACAAAAGATTAAGGAAACACACGTAGTCCTTGCTGAAAACATGCGTTTCCTAAATATTTTGGTTTTATGCATCTTAAAAAGTTTACTTACAAGTCTAGTAAACACTATCAAAAAACATATTTCATCATTTTGCATTGGTAATTTTGTACCAGTATTATCCAGATATGTTACGATTTGAATATCTTAATTATAAAAGGGTTATATTATTCCTTCAATCTTGTTGGCTTCTGTGAAAATATGACTGGTGATTGTTCATGTTAAGTGATGTTTTTTGGTAGGTTTGAGAGTTTCTGGTGAAGGTACTCTTCGGACGCAACAAATCTATAAAGTATCATTTTCATTCGTGAATAGCCCAGACTTGCTACATCGGTACAGGCATGACAACATGTGAATTTATCTAAATCAAGCAATATATCTCCCTCATGCAAAGCTCGGATTCTTTTACAAATTTTGTTATACTTAAGGTTCTTTTTGGTTTTATCAGCTCTTCACTGTTTGTATATTTTTTCATTTTTCAATTATTTTGGCCTTATGCATCACTGAAGAGACATTTATTGTCGGAATGCGCATCTAGTACAGTAAAATGGTACTGTTAGTGTTATTATTTTCATTTGTCAGACATTAATTTATTAGGGACTTGATTTTAATGAAGCTTTAAAAATAAAAATATTGAAAAATAAAGGATTTCCTGGCTTTACATGTACCTTCATGCCCATGAAAAACCCAAAAGTATTATATAGCTTTGTGCTCAGATTTACAAATAATTATTGTAAAAAATAAGAAGATGTGGTATGATTGGCAACTCTCCACCAGAGACCAAATGACGTATAAGTTAGCAACTACATGTCACTGTACGTCCTTCAACAATGAGCAACACCAATACTGCTTAGCCAGCTATAAAAGGCCCCGAAATAAGAAATATAAAAAAATTCAAACTAGATAACTAAAAGCCTGATTTTTGTACAAATCAATAAACAAAAACAAATATTATATACATCAACAAACGACAACCACTATGCTTGCAGTCAATTCAGTACTGTTCAGTAGTTTTTCAGGCAATTCAGTATGACGTTAATGTGAACAGGTAAATAACAAATATTGAACAGTGTGAAGATAGACTGAACAGATCTTAATTGACTGTAATGGAATTGTCTTAACAGTACTGACTTTACCACAGTGGATATGTTGGACATTTGAATGAAATACTGAAAATTACTTAAGGTTTTATTGTGCAGTCTTTCAAGAGTTGTTCAGACAAAAAAATACCATTTCAGATCAAAACATGTTTATAATAGTGATAATTTTACATTTGTTGCTGGAAAAACCCATTCAGAACAAATACCTGCAACGAATCATATGCACGATTTTGAGTACAATGAAATCAACTATTAATAGTTTATATACTCCATTAACAAGTACTAACTAAATGTTTTGATTCTTTTAAACACACAAAATAAAAATATAATTGTCAATGCAAGTAGAAAACGATGGGTGAAATCTGCCTATATTTTTTAAATTTTTTACATAAAAAACAACCCATTGGTTCCTTCTTTAATTTTTTGACAGAGGTATGCTGCAGTTGAAGAGGGTATGTACCAATCAGTTGTAAAATTGTTTTTTTGTCATTTCCATTTCAACAACCAATCAATAAAGTGGTTAATAGATATAATTGACTTGTCACAAACTCCATTCAAATGTTCCAAAGTTTTAGTATTGGATTTCATCGATTGCAATAAAATGAACATTACATGTCATGAACGCACATCATTTTCTGATCGAAGAGGTATTTGGTGTTGAATTTCTGTGTTATTAGAGGAAAACACACAAGTGACATAATAATATATGCATTGCATTAGAATTAAATTAGCATATAATGTACATGTAAGGAAATGCAATTTGTCTGTCCTACTCTTAGTCAAGGTATTGGTTGTTTCAAAGAACCATCAGGAATTGTGTTTTTAAAACTGAAGGAACACTGTATCTTAACTCCAATTGCTGCTGCCAATGTAAAAGTGTAATGTTCACTGCCAAAAGTCCATTCATCAATCCATCTAACAGTAAATTATGAAAAATGTGAAAAATAAAACTTTTTTCTTCAGTATGCTTCGAACTAAAAATAAAATTTTATAAATTTGGTGCACCTGAAGTAGTATTCTAGATTTATCTTGATCAGGAACTTTCAAATCTAATAATTTGAAAGCTAAGGGTGTATCAGTACTTGAAAGCGATAGGAGCTATAAGACCAAAAAGGGACCTAAAAATAAAACCATATCCATCCATGGTCAAATTTGCGTGAGGTTGTTGAAACATTAGTTCCTAGTAAATAAACTGAGATTTTAAGAAGTTTTGTTTAACTGAATGGAAATCACACACCTTTGAGATCCTATTGAAGTTGTGAAGAATTTTGACAATATACTAAATATACAGAGATGAATAGATTGGATTTTTATAATGTTCAGTGGCAAATATATCAAGCATTTTAGCATGAGAACATATTAATTTGATATCATTGTTGATCCTGCTTTGTAGAATGACTCTCTAAACCAGACTTTTAAGGTACTGATTAACAAGGTAAGTCACCCTGTACAAACACATTATTCAGAATCTGAGCTGATCAGTGATTGTTGTACTCCTACATGATATGTGAAGAGTGGCAATTACTAATTCTCAAGTCTTAATTATGACCTGGTTAGGGATCAAACCCACAACCTCCTGCAATTGAGGTGAGCATGCTACCAGAAGAACACCAAGGTGGTTAAAGTTATCGAAATACCACCATATCTTATATACTGTAAAATCAAAATGTTTGCAATGTTTTTACTACTTTAAATGGGTACAGGACAGGTTTCTCAAAAATAAAAACTCATTTTGAATTTGTATTGTATTATTGTACACAATACTTCCTGAAATTGCAATAATTAATCTCACATTTTTGTCAATTGTTCGACAATCATAATAATAACTGCATGCAAATATTTCAGAATTTACCTTAGCAAAAATGATTATATCAAATAAAAAATAGATCAAATATAGATTTAACATTGTTTTATATAAAAATATACAAAAAATATATATAAAAATGTACAATATATGGTATCTAGCATCAAGATTTTGATTTGGAGAAACTGTTGATAGCTGGTTGTTTTTTATCCACTTTCTGTTTCTTTGTCTTGGCTGGAGTTTTAGAGTTCTGAAAAAATATCCACATTTTCCATTAAATGTGAAAGGCAAAATATGTTTTGGAGTTCACAAGAAAGTACTTGCTAATTTACATTTAGATCTTAATGAATATGGGGTCTCTCACACATTGCCATTCTATACATACTACAGACCATAGCATTCCTTACATGCAAAAATAGAAACGGTGAACTTCTATATATTTTTTATCACATAATACCACAGAGCATGACCTATTTTAATTTTTGTAAATAACCAAAATAAAGCCCTTATTTTTTTTTTAAGGAGAAGAAAGTGCTCATGGGAAAGATATAATTAAAGTTTGAAACTTCTGCTCTGATCATCACTAATCTCATCTCATGCACTTTTTGTTGGAATCAAACTTACAATCTTAAAAAATATTAGTCTTAATGATTCTTACTTGTAGAAAAATACTAACCATCTTTTCTGTATATGCCTTGAAAACCTGAAATAGAAAAAATATATAAATAATTTGAATAGAATAAAATAATAAAATAATAAAATGCTCTGCTGGGCGCAGCTTGATACGACCGCAGAGGTCGAACCCTGAACAGTTGGGGCAAGTATGGACACAACATTCAAGCTTGATACAGCACTGAATTTGGATTGTAATTAAATATTTGACACAGCATAGGTTTCTGACACAGAATGAATGTGGTCTAAGAATTAAAAATTTTTAATTTACCTATTCAAACCATATCATTATCATTTGCTTTTATATATAAATCATAAATAACCAATTTAAAATGGAAAATTTTAAAGAAAAAAAAAGGAACCCCCCCCCCCCCCCCCCCCAAATTTTTTGAACCCTCTTATGATTTATCACCCCAAAACTCAATCCCAGCCTTCCCTTTGTGGTATGGTACCTTTCAGTACAATTTCAGAGAGATCCATACACTTGAACACAAGTTATTGTCTGGAAACAAGAAAAATGCTTGTTTTTTTCCCCCTTTTTGGCCCCAAATTCCTAAACGTTTAGGGCAATTACCCCCAAACTCAAACCCAGCTTTCCCTTTGTGATATGGAACCTTGAAGTACAATTTCATAAAGATCCATACACTTACACACAAGTTATTGTCATGAAACTAGAAAAATGCTTGTTTTTTGCCCCTTTTTTGCCCCTAATTCCTAAAATTTTGAGGCAATTACCCCAAAAATCAGTCCCAGCCTTCCCTTTGTGGTATGGTACCTTGCAGTACAATTTCAGAGAGATCCATACACTTGAACACAAGTTATTGTCTGGAAACTAGAAAAATGCTTATTTTTGGCCCCTTATTCCTAAACGTTTTGGGAAATTACCCCCAAACTCAATTCCAGCTTTCCCTTTGTGATATGGAAGCTTGTAGAACAATTTCAGAAGGATCCATACACGAAAACACAAGTTATTGTCATGAAACTAGAAAACTGCTTGTTTTTTGGCCCCTAATTCCTAAAATTTTGAGGCACTTACCCCCAAAATCAATCCCAGCATTCCCTTTGTGATATGGAACCTTGTGGTACAATGTCAGAGAGATCCATACACTAACACACAAGTTATGTCTGGAAGTTACAAAAATGCTTATTTTTGGCCCCTTATTCCTTAACTGTTGGTACCATAACCCCCAAAATCAATCCCAACCTTCCTTTTGTGGTATTGAACCTTATGGTAAAATTTTATAAAGATCCATTCACTTAAACTAAAGTTTGAGTGTGAAAACCAATGTGTCTTCGGACGACGATGACGACGCCAATGTCATACAAATATACGACAGCAAAAATTTTTTGCGGTCGTATAAAAATTATATATAATTAGAATAGAATAAAATAAAAATTATCTATAATTTGAATAAAATAAAATAAAAATTATATATAACTTGAAAGAAACATAATTTTCTCAGAATATGATATTTCTATTTTGAGTGCAAAAATGTAACTATCAAAGTTTGAAACATAATTTAAGTGTTGTTACAGTTTGTCAAAATCAACAATCTAAGTTTTTAAAATATATGTACCTGTGCAACTTTTTTTTTCTTTTCAATCAATTATATAGGTAAAAAAATTTCTGTTGGTAAGGTAATTTTATAAGGAATTAAAACCAACTTAATATTCAAAACCTAATATAAGGTAATTCTAAATTATCTCTTGGTTTTCAGGCCTTTTGTTTTTAGCTCAAGAAATTAATGGTAGAGGAATCATTATCTTTATCCATCATTTTAATGTTCTAATAGTAAATCAGAATAATCAATATGTAGCAATGCTTTTGAAACCTTTTTCATAGCTGTAGATACGGCTGATTCTTGTAGTTCTTCCTCCGTCACCCATCGTAGAGGTCTGGTACTAGAGGGATCTTTAACGACTGTGTCGCTGCCATCCTCCTCCACTGTAAGACTGTCTATTATGTAGGTCTGGTGGATGTGTGAGAACAAGTGGACTACCTTTAATCATATATGCTATTAAATCTTTTACAATGATATTGCCCTAAGTGCTAGTCTAGTCATCATTCTATAACACTGTCTTTTGTTTGGTGGATGGGTGTTGGAAAACAAATGGACAACTTAGAATTGTATAACTTTATCTTTAATTATGATATTCAGAACTAAATTGTAATTTTATTAAAATTGCTTTAGACCAAGACTGTGGTGTTTTTTAAAACAATATGTAGAAAAGATTTCAATAACTTAAGCTCAAGAATCAATTGTGGACAGGTAAAATTATTTTTAGCAATTCCTAGATGAATTTGAATCCTCAGATTTTCCATAAAAAAATCAGTAACAAGCAACAAAAGTCCTATTCTAGCAATTTTGTATGCAAAGATTTTTCTACATTACAGCAGTTCTGTAGTAATCTTGATAAATTGCTATACATGAATTGTAAATTTTTGGGAAAGCAACATACATTTTACTCTGAATATCTCAAATGAAGGTTTAGGATATAGTTTCATTTTCAATTTTCACAACTGAATGCCAATAAAAAACTAGAAAATATCTGGTATTAAGTGTAGACCCTAATGTCACCTACTTTCAACAATTGAACTGCTGTTATCAATTTTGACCTTTAAACAAGTGGATTACCTCTCCAACATGGCATGTGGATGCAACAGTATCCACATGTAATCCACAGCTGTCTACCAGTAACTGTTGAGGTGATGCTTCTTTAGGATGGTCTTTATCTATCTTTACTGATGGGAATTCCCATAGACCTGCTAACAATCCTACAAAATATATAAATAATGTTCAACACTACGTCTTAATCGATCAGTAAAGGGATGGACTGTTGCTGCAGAGAGAAAAAAAAATAAAATTGTTTTAAAACTTCCTTGTTCACTGTAACTTATATGCAAGTCTTTAATGAAGGGAAGTGTTGCCTGTACAGCTTATTTTTTCTTCCTTTCATGTGTACACATTGTAGAGTATTTCAATTCCATACATTGGTTTACGAGATAAGATACATATACATATAGGTAGAATTTAATATATTTTTACTGTAAATATTTGGGAACTTATTTGAAAGGTGAACTTTCAAATCAATTGATTTAATTTAATCATATTTTTGGCAAATCCCTGTATACCCAATAATAGGAAGTTAACCCCCCCCCCCCCCCCCCCCCCCCGCCCCCTCCCGTGGTTTTATCTCACCTTTTTGTGGTCTCTGTACAATACAATATAATGCCTCTGACTTATTCTTCTTACACAGTATACACACTTTAGTCTGTTCTTCTCTAGCTGCTTTCTTCTTCCCCTTTCTGGGATAGTTCTGTACACCTAAACTATCAACACACAAATACTGAAGAAATCAGCAATATTTTTTTGTTGTATTGTTTGAAATATGGTTGACATATACTACACCTCTTCTTAATTCATTTATCTAAATGAAGGATTGTACATTTCAAGATTTTGTAGAACTAACACATTTTAAGAATTTGTTCTTCAACAAATTCTAAAACACAGGAAGTTGTACTTTCTAACATGCTTCTTTTGTGGAAAAAACTCTTGTTCAGTTACATCAAATACAGGCCTTAAAGTTTGACCCTTTCCAAGCACCTGAGTGGACCCTTGGTTTATGGTGGTGTTCGTGTTGCTCAACCCTAATTTTCTGTGTATTGTTTTATTAATGTGATTTTGTCTAATCCTCAGTTTTCTTTTGGTCATGGTGGTGTCTGATTTTATTGGACTTAATTTTGTTAATGGTCCGCCTTGTATTTTCTCTTTTCATTATAACAAGGCCAAATTTCCCCCAAAGTCGAATGGACAAGAAAATGAATATTTATACTACACATCCATATGTATAATAAGAGCTGCTAAATTCGTTTATGTAAAAATATGCTAGCTTCTTCCATTAATCTTAAAACTACTTCATCTGCATGTTATGGTAAATGCCTAAGTTTTCTTATAAGACAATATCAGACAGGCCAAAATATCAATTCCAAAAAATATATACTTCTAAAAAATCAGTTTGTTGCCAAATTTTTTATTTAAAACACAAATAAAAGTATACAAATCAATCAAAATTAGAAAATAAACATTGAAATGACACTTATAAAAGTGTCTTAATTTCATTCAGACAATTACTGTGTATTTACCTGCTATCCCATACCTCATTACTCTGAATGCATAATGGACAACTGTCAACACCTGAAATATAATAAATATGTATAGATAGCAGACATCAAATATATTTAAAATTAATTTCTACAAAACGAAGATGAAATTGAATTAAATGGTTCAAGGAAATCTTTTTAAATCTATACTTGTAATAAAACATATTTACTTTCAATTTCAATGATATAGTAGATAAGTGTAAACTAATGTACATTTATGTGTAAAATACTTTTTTATTATTCTTTTTAAATCAAAAAGCTGATAGCTCTGAGGTTGAAGAAGATACATAAAAGGATAACTTGAATTACCATGAAAGCAGACCACACCAACCCAGCCTGCTCTGTGTCATTATTTCTTTAGATGTTTTTTTTTCTTCCAAAAATAATAGACTTTAATTAATACTCATGTCTCCACCAAATCAGACTACACTGAACATAATAATCTACAAATTCTGTTGATTCAAATTAAATTTTCTATAATTCCATACATTTGTCTCAGCATGGTCAACTTATGGAGTTGATTAGGATTTCCTTGAAAGTTTTTCTGTCAAAGGTAGATAGTTTACTTTTGGTATTCTGACTTCCTTCGTATAAAAAAAATGACAGAACACAAACAGTCGTCATCAATGGCATTTCTTCCACCTCAGAACCCGTAACATCTGGTGTACCCCAAGGAACAGTATTAGGCCAACTTGAAGCCTTGTTGAACCAAAGAAGAAGAAACCAGGGCTTCCAAAATAAAATTGAGCCAACCCGCAGAACTATTTTTTTTAAATCCTGTTCTTAATCTCTGAAAACTTTGTAATTTAAGGCACTTAAGGTACGTGATGGACCTGAAACAATTACACTCAATCGCAGAGTCTTTTTCGTAAACGAAAAGAAGAAGAAAGTAATCATTGGGGACATTCCGACAATGTCTGACATGAAAAACTTCGTACTTTCGATATGGATCCCGTGAACTGACATTAGTTCGTACATTGATAGTTCTGTCAACTGACAGTGCATTGTTTGAAGTGTAAAGCACCAGCAAATTTACATATGCACTTGACTCTTTATTATCGCAATAACACACTGAAATATTCTGACTTACGTTTTAAAACGCATGTTTTCAAAAACCAGATGTTGACTTGATAGCGGTAAAGATCAGAACACAGATGGAAAAACTAAATCCGTGTATTTTTGTCAAGCATAATTGAGTTGTAGTCATCGTCACAACTCGGCTGATTCCGTACCTTTATCCAACTAAATTAACACATGCGTTCTACCAAATCCATTTTAAAAACATCCGGTTACAAAGTAAATGAATAACTTTAGATTGAAGATTAGTAAGATGGAATCTAAAAATTAACATAAACTAGACATCATTGAGATTGGTTTTTTAAAGCCTAACTGTACAATTGATTTATAAAATGATGCAGACACTATTTTACAAACTTGTAACCGATCATGTGTACAAATCGGTGTCGAGATGAGGCATGGAAGTTATAAAATTGTATAGCACCTAAATGGATACATCAACACTTCTGGTAACGGTTCAATGATTTCAGATTTTGAAACAGCCGGCAGTATAGGATTTCAGAAGACTTCAAAGTCTTCTTCCACCAAAAACTAACTAGAGAGACATTTATTGTCCTTTTTAAAAAACTAACCAAAGAGACATTTATCGTTCGAAATGCACATCTGGTGGAGAAAAATTGGTACAGTTTATGTTATAAAAGCAACCAAATATTTCATGATCAAAACACTGCAGATGGGATAGCTTTTCATAGTATGCATGTTTACGTTCTCTTTGCATATGGTAATTTCGGGTTGTCTGACTTAATGTTATGTGAATCTAGCACCATCGAAAAACACACATCAAGGAAAAAACACGTCGATAGTTCACTGAGAAAAATATTTAAGTTTTAGCGTGTATTTGTCTTTGCTGACTTAAAAAAAATGAATTATTATTATGTAATAGTATAGTCATAAAACTTATAGTAAGACAACATTAATTAATAGTGTGCATTATGAATTATCATGAGAGAGAACATGTTTATTAATGATATCAAACTTACAACATTCTATATCAGTGATGATAGGCTTGGTCCTATCCTTTGTCAGTTCTTTTGTTTTCTCCTGTTTATCAAATTCTACCTGAAATCAAATAATAGAACACTAGACTGTATAAAATGTTTTAATTTGAAATATTCAACTATATTTCATAATTTAGTGTTACAAAAAAAATCTTCTGGAAAAATATTCAAAGCATACATACATGGGTCAATTTTTTTGTTTATCTTTTTCCATGACAATATATATAGAATACTCATTTCAAAACATAAACATTGTACATAGATCTAAGGTATATGAACATATATAAAGAATCAATCCTTCAACTCTAATGTTACTTTTAAAAATATTAACTTCCCATTTTTGCCAATACAAGGAAATAAAGATGATACCAAGAGGCAATCAAAGTCAAAGGCAACACCAGGGAAAAAAAATAACTCGACAAAACATCACACAGAAAACTTAACATTGAGCAACGTGATTGATTGATTGGTGTTTAATGCCACTTTCAGCACGATTGGCTATTCAGTGGGGGTCAGTTTTTATTGATGGAGGAAGCTGGAGTGCCCAGGAAGAACCACGGCCTATGGTAGGAAAGCTGACAATCCTAAGTCAATTAAGACTGGAGTCGAATGCACCTGCAATGTGCAGTGTCCGAACTCACAACCTCAGTGTTGACATGCTAGTGATAAAGTAGTTGAACTAATTGGACCACTCTTCAACCGAGACCCTTTGAGCAACAAGAACACCACCAAAAATCAGGTGCTCTAGAATGTTAAGTAGTTCCTACTGAATTAAATTGCATCAGTTTTTATTGTTCATTGAAAATAATATACAATTATTGTCTTTTGATGAGGTAAATGTGTGGTTTTATTGACTTTTGAAAAACTGATATTCACTGAGGCCAACGGCCGAATTGAATGTCACTAGGTTTTTCAAAAGTCAATTAAACCACATATTTACCGAAACAAAAGACAGTAATTGTTTTATTCAATGTTCCGAGAGAGAAAAATATGTTGGAAATAACAGTTATTTACCAAAACCAACTAAACTTCAAACATTGTATCGTTATTATACACGTAAAAGCACGCGACGTTTTGCGTGGTGAATATACTTTTTCCGCAGGTGAATATGCTTATTTATTCAAAATCCCATTCATATAGAAAAACCTACTAAAGTTCTTTCAATATGGAATAAAATACTATTATTTGTTCCATTCTATTATGTCATTAATACCATCTAAGAGATGACACTTTAACATCACAATTTAAACCCTAGGTTAAATACCTTCCTTGTTAGCAGGAAATCATGATAGGAAACACAAGCCAAAGAATATACTATCAACTAGGAGGTATCTGCTAGATAAACTACTGCTGCTGGACAAAAAATAAAGACATATTAAAAAGACCTAAAATTTCATGATTTTAGAATCTGGAAATGTGACAATATTATTACCTCTTTGTTTGCTAAACATAAGCTTCTCACAGGACATGTGTTACAACTTGGTGTCTTTGGTGTACAAATAGTAGCTCCTAACTCCATCATTCCTTGATTGAAATCACCTGCCTTGTCTGGGTCTACAAGTGAATTAGCATGCTGCCTAAAGAATAAAAAACAAAAGACTTTCTTATTGATTTTCAGGAGATACCAGTTAAACAGGTTTTGTGGATCTTTAAAACGCAAAATAAACTGTTCAGACCAAGGCTTCCAAAACGGTCATATATTCCGGACATTTGTATAATGTCCGGTAAAAGTCAGGCTGGGCAAAGCATGAAACGGACATCTACTTCTTAGTTTTCAAGGCTTAAGAGACGGTCATTTAAACATATTTCGCGATCTTTTTGACCCAACCTTTTGCCTTTAACAACCACACATTTCCGGTCATAAAAGTGACATGATCATTAAGTACTATCAAAACAACCCCTACTTTAATACCTTCTCATTTTAATCAAGGCTAATTAGTTGTCGAACAGCTGAAATTTACCTGTTCAGGTGACAGGTAAACTATTTTGAACCGGACATTGATCGGTCTATTCAAAGTTATTTTCTTACATTTCAGCGGTTTGCATCTAATTAATTAAGTTAAAAAGATTTAAATTATCAGAAATATGATTTGATGAAAAAATTAACTAGAGGCTCTCAAGAGCCTGTGTCGCTCACCTGACTCTACTTTGGTTTTAGAAATCATGTAAAGATAGATAAAAATCATAACAGATACCCAAATAATGATTGAGGCCAAATTTTGATTAATATTGGTCCCGTTATTTAATAAAATATCCTGGTGGCCATCTTGAACAGTAAATCGACTGCAAAGTAACAACACTTGGTCAGCAACTCATAAGGAACATTCATGCCATGTTTGGTTCCATTCCATTCAGTGGTTCTCTAAAAGAAGACAAATGTATGTATTTCCCATAGGGTCCTATGTTAAACTAAGTCCCCCGCTGGCGGCCATCTTGGATGATGGACCGACTGCAAAGTAACAACACTTGGTCAGCACCTCATTAGGAACATTCATGCCATGTTTGGTTTCATTCCATTCAGTGGTTCTCTAAAAGAAGACATTTGTATGTATTTCCCATAGGGTCCTATGTTAAACTAAGTCCCTCGCTGGCGGCCATCTTGGATGATGGATTGGCTGCAAAGAAACATCACTTGGTCAACACCTCATAAGGAACATTCATGCCATGTTTGGTTCCATTCCATTCATAGGTTCTCTAAAAGAAGACATTTTGTATGTATTTCCAGTAGGGTCCTATGTTAAACTAAGTCACCCACTGGCAGCCATCTTGGATGATGGATCGGCTGCAAAGTAACAACACTTGGTCAGCACCTTATAAGGAACATTCATGCCATGTTTGGTTTCATTCCATTCACTGGTTCTCTAAGAGAAGACATTTGTATGTATTTCCCATAGGGTCCAATGTTAAACTAAGTAACCCGCTGTCGGCCATCCTGGATGATGGAGTGACTGCAAAGTTACAACACTTGGTCAGCACCTTATAAGGAACATTCATGCCATGTTTTGTTTCATTCCATTCAGTTGTTCTCTAAAAGAAGACATTTCTATGTATTTCCCATAGGGTCCTATGTTAAACTAAGTCCCCCGCTGGCGGCCATCTTGGATGATGGATCGACTGCAAAGTAACAACACTTGGTCAACATCTCATAAGGAACATTCATGCCATGTTTGGTTCCATTCAATTTATTGGTTCTCTAAAAGAAGACATTTTTATGTATTTCCCAAAGGGTCCTATGTAAAACTAAGTCCCCCGCTGGCGGCCATCTTGGATGATGGATTGGCTACAAAGTAACAACACTTGGTCAGCATCTCATAAGGAACATTCATGCCATGTTTGGTTTCATTCCATTCAGTGGTTCTTTAAAAGAAGACATTTGTATGTATTTCCCATAGGTCCTATGTTAAACTAAGTCCCCTGCTGTCGGCCATCTTGGATGATGGACCGACTGCAAAGTAACAACACTTGGTCAGCACCTCATAAGGAACATTCATGCCATGTTTGGTTTCATTCCATTCAGTGGTTCTCTAAAAGAAGACATTTGTATGTATTTCCCATAGGGTCCTATGTTAAACTAAGTCCCCCGCTGGCGGCCATCTTGGATGATGGATCGGCTACAAAGTAACAACACTTGGTCAGAACCTCATAAGAAACATTCATGCCATGTTTGGTTTCATTCCATTCAGTGGTTCTCTAAAAGAAGACATTTGTATGTATTTCCCATAGGGTCCTATGTTAAACTAAGTCCCCCGCTGGCGGCCATCTTGGATAATGGATCGGCTACAAAGTAACAACACTTGGTCAGCACCTCATAAGGAACATTCATGCCATGTTTGGTTTCATTCCATTCAGTGGTTTTCTAAAAGAAGACATTTGTATGTATTTCCCATAGGGTCCTATGTTAAACTAAGTTCCCCGATGGCGGCCATCTTGGATGATGGATCGGCTACAAAGTAACAACACATGGTCAGCACCTCATAAGGAACACTTATGCCATGTTTGGTTTTATTCCATTCAGTGGTTCTCTAAAAGAAGTCATTTGTATGCATTTCCCATAGGGTCGGTTGTTAAACTAAGTCCCCCGCTGGCGGCCATCTTGGATGATGGATCGGCTACAAAGTAACAACACTTGGTGAGCACCTCATAAGGAACATTCATGCCATGTTTGGTTTCATTCCATTCAGTGGTTCTCTAAAAGAAGACATTTGTATGTATTTCCCATAGGGTCCTATGTTAAACTAAGTCCCCCGCTGGCAGCCATCTTGGATGATGGATCGGCTACAAAGTAACAACACTTGGTGAGCACCTCATAAGGAACATTCATGCCATGTTTGGTTTCATTCCATTCAGTGGTTCTCTAAAAGAAGTCATTTGTATGCATTTCCCATAGGGTCCTATGTTAAACTAAGTTCCCCGCTGGCGGCCATCTTGGATGATGGATCGGCTACAAAGTAACAACACTTGGTCAGCACCTCATAAGGAACATTCATTCCATGTTTGGTTTCATTCCATTCAGTGGTTCTCTAGAAGAAGTTCAAAATGTAAAAAGTTTACGCCGACGACGGACGACGCCGGACGACGGACGACGGACGCCAAGTGATGAGAAAAGCTCACTTGGCCCTTTGGGCCAGGTGAGCTAAAAAGGTGAAAATGAAAAATCGTCATAACCACGTTGTTTGAACCAGAGACATGTCTCTGTTTGAACTAGTACACGTGTGCGCATGTGCGCAGGTGTGAAATTTAATTATGCATCCTAATTTCTTCAAAAAAATGCTTAAATTGTCATTGATACCTTTATCTCACGTTTATTTCGAATATTTTCTTGAAGAAATAATGTAGAAAGAGCTACTTGCACTCATTCATGCTTTGCAAACGTACACGGAATTTCCGTATCCGTCTCTGGTATATGTTTTACCATTGTCAAGATAACATCCGGTTTACGAAAGTAAAGTTTTTGACAACGTTATTTTGCACAAATAAAGAGTCTAAGCAGATATAAGTACGCTGATGTTGCACTGCCAATTTAACAGCTTACGTCAGAACTTCGAATTTGAATCAAAGAAAGTTTAATATCGTTTTTTTTAATGTCAATCATTGGGATGGCCAACTCGGCAACTGATTACCTTAATTGCCTTTTATTTATTTAGTCTTAAGGGATTAAAATCGGGATAATATATAAAATGTCCGGCTGGCTAAAAATAATTTTGGAAGCCCTGGTTCAGACAGAGGTTATTCGTCTCACTTGTGTGTATTTTCGATTGTTTTATGCAAATGTTCAAATCTAACTGGGTACACTTTAACATTTAAACTATGCAAAAGCTTCAAAAGTAATATTCCACCAAACAGGAGGCGGGGCTAAATTATCTCCATGGAAGTGAGATGTGCCAATGCTTATAAAACTGCATAACAAATACAATTGACCTACCATAATGGTTTCCCTTAAACTTATCTAATCAAAAACTGTTATATGAAAACCATGCTAATGTTTTAAAGTCAATGGACGATGACTGAGGAGGTAAGACCAAATAATCTCCATCAAAATGATATAAATGTATATCAATGCTTATACAACTGCATACCAAATATAACTGATGTACCATATTAAAGTGGTTTCCCTTAAACTGACCTAATCACTATCTTTAACAAGTAATCCACACATAAGTTTCACAGTCGCATAACTGTGACTGATGGGCAGGGTCAAATAAGCCCATGGAAATGATGCTTCTACAACTGCATACCAAATATTTTAGACTTATCATAAGGGGTTCACCTTAAACTGACCTAATCACAAATATAAACAAATTGTTGACCCCATGGAAATCCTAATGAATGAAAGAAACAACACTCCTACGTCTCGAGTCCGTAGCTTTGAGACAATACAATAAAATGAAATGATTTACTCATTTTCACTAAACCAATCTTTACAAATTACAAAAGGTAGAATATTTCAAATTTTATACTTTATCTTAACCTAATTATAAAAATGTTGTGGATATTACAGATATATATATATATATTTGTACCAGAGTTTATATTTGTCAGGTTTATCTAGCTAACATATAAATATACCATAGTTTATCTTGGACTGGTTGACTTGTACTATCTCCACCCATCTTTCTCATTCTACATAAAACTCTGATAACATTACCATCTACTATCCCTGTTGCCTGAAGAAAAAAACATATACAACAATGTAAATTAAAATTATATTTTAATAATTTCTTTTGAAAAATTGCATATATTTTAATGAATAAATACAAATTAGATTAAATTTCTTTACTTAATTGTCAAGATTAAGCTTTTACCTTACTGACTGATACTTTTTTGTTAGCACAGACTTGATATGTGAATTCTTTCTAAGTAGTGGCTTTTTCCAAACCTTTTAATTCTATATGCTTTGAAGTCATTTTCCACTATATATATCCCCAACAAAGACCTTAATTTTTAGACCTTTAGCATCATATTGGTAAAGCAAATACTATTATTCTTTCGTCTTTTATTTTGTGAGGGGAGCAGTTGTATGATGATTTTCTATTCAAATTTATATTTATGGTTATAAAACTACAACTCCCAATAGTCCTATATATGATAACTGACCTGCCCATAAGCTATAGAAGCAATCGCCCCAGCTGTGTATTTCCCCACTCCTGGAAGCTGTTTTAATAATTCATCAGCTGTTTTTGGCATTTTTCCCTTCATTTCATTTACAACCTACAAATGTATGTTTTACACTGTTAAAAATTGTTGTAATTATAATCATATATAAACAGTATGGCTCAGACTTCAGAATTCTTCTAAAATAATTTTTTTAATTAATCCTTCTAAATGGTCATTGCATCATTTATATATAGATTTCACCACTGCAATAAGTGTGTTACGTTATTTCTCAACTCCAGACAGTAAAATTTTAATATTCAAAGCGCAATGCTTGCCAAGCTTTTTAAATGATTAAAATTTAACTGTTGAGAGTGGAGAAATATCGTAACAAATGAGTTAAAGTGGTGGAATCTGTTTCTCTAATGATTTTTCCCTTCCTTTTCAAAGATTTGCAGAAAGTTGTGTTCTTTATATGTGACGTCATCAGACATGGTCGCCTTTTTCCATGATGCCACAATAGGAAAATTCAGAAAAAAACCAAGAAACTTTGACGTCATAATTAAATTTCGACCAAACTAGGAAACTTGCTCTTGCCACACCGGTCACATTTCAAAAGGTGAACAGCTACATCTTCTTTCATTTCATACCAGTAGAATTCAAGCCTAATCCTGGCAAGGGTTTTCTTTCGTCCATAATGGCCGGATAAAGGGGAATCATGAGCTAACGTTAGCACCTCTTGTATTAAACGGGATGGGGGTCAACAACTGAATTGTAATAACTGGCCTGACAGGTGTCTCTTTAACTATGCTGCCACCACCTACGTTTACAGGTACACAGGGGACCTTAATAGACTATTTTTTATTAAGATGTAATTATCTCATGGGGAGGGATTTTTAACTAGGTCAAAGGGGTCAAAACACACGGAAATATTTAATCTCAATATTAAAACAAATGAATAACTCAAATAGAGGGCGAACGAAAAGGGTTAGGAATATTCAAATACGCTCTATTCTGTGGAAATGAACACACTCCTGTCGTGTAGTTTATAGAACAGATTGTCTCTGTAAGGTAGAGGATGAACCTCTAAATTGTCAACATATAAACTATCAATCAAGAAGTGGAAACGCAAGGAACGGTACCAACAGACTAGCACACAAATAAATATCTTCTGTCTGACAATCAAATAGTTTCTTGTCTAGGTGTAGCAAGAGGGTCTATTCTCCCATGAGACAGTGTTATGACACCAACAACCAGAGACCAAGTTGGACTACTATTATGTAAGTTTAATGATTAATAAATAAGATATTTAAGAGCATAATTTTGTATTATTAGTAAAGCATTTCATACAGATATCACAGTGAACCAAATTACAGTTTTAACAACTTTTGGAAGTATAAATATATTTCTAACTATTAATGTATCCAGTTATTTGCCACAGTGTTCAACCAACTACCCAATAATTTATATATCATATCTTTGTTTACATATAGATTCTACCACTGCATCGAGTGTGATACGATATTCATCCACTCGAGACAGTTAAATTTTCAAATTTAAAACGTGAGGCTTGCCGAGCGTTTTAAATATTTAAAATTTAACTGTCGAGAGTGGATAAATATCGTATTACACGAGATTTGGTGGTGGAATCTGTTTCTCTAATGATTTTCAAACAATACGCAGGCAAATTTATTCCTTCTTTTCGAATGATCTGCAAAAAGATGTGTTCTTTCTATGTGACGTCATCAGGCATGGTAGCCTTTTTTCATGCCGTCACAATAGGAAATTCAGAGGAAAGCAAGAAAATTTGACGTCATAATCGGATTTTAACCAATGAAGAACTGAGATCAAACGAACCACACGTTGATTAAATTTTTTTTATACAATGGGTGCAGAAAGGGATAAATTGACGAAGAATTAGAGAAATATATATATATATCATCTCCTAATAAATTATATAATTGAAATAACTGTACTTTGTTATTATTTAATTAACCTCAGCCTCCTTGAGTAAGCACAGGAAGGCAGACTTCAATCACATTTGAGATTGAGAGTATTTAAAAGTGAAATTTAATTGTCCTAGCTTCTTACTATTCCTATCTTAGAAAGTATACAGAAATTATTTATGTTCTCTCTGATTACTGGAGCAACTCAGCAAACAGGATACTTAACAATATGTCTTAACCAAAAATGGAGAGAAAATGGGGGATGGGAAGGCATGTAACTTTATTCCGTTTTGTCTCAAAGAAAACAGGTTAGCAAATGAAAACTAGCCTGAATAAATAGACCCGCTATTTATATTTACAATTGAATTAAATCCATTTTTGATTCTGATCTAAGTCCAAAATACTAGACTTATAGTGAACAGAAAATGTCCAAATATTTGGTAATTTAGAAAAATCAACTGCACTAAACAATTGAAAAACTACACAAATGTGTATTTAAAAAGCCAAATATTCTAAACTGCAATGAAACTGCTTAAAATCTCATGAAATTCATGATAAAAATATGAAGAACTTCAGCGAATGTGAAATATACGACAGTCAGGGGTACTACTTGTACAAGTAATTTTTATTTACTTCAAGAAGTAATTATAATATACTTATATAAGTAAATTTGTAGGATACTTATACAAGTGTATTTTATTTACTTGTATAAGTAAATTATTTTTTGGCCTAGTTATGTCCCTTAGGCATTCAGATTTTTTTACTTATACAAGTAAAAAAGTCATCCTATCTTCTTTTCTTGAATTCTTAGAACTTCTTTGCTCTAACAGAATTTTGAATTGTCTGTCCTTTGCAGATGTCTTTACTATTCATTTAAGTGTAATTTCATGGACAATGAAAATCTCATTTGTCTTTTATCTTTAGAACACTGCTCATTTACAAGCCCCCAAGGAGCAATTTTTGAAGGCCTTGCGCAAATACTTAAGATCTTTGCTCAATCAGTTTCTTTGTTGAATTAATGAGATGAAACATTGAACTCTTATCAAAAATTATGAGCTAACCTGAGAAAAATTGTTAAAGGCATGATTTTACATCTCAAAACTTGAGAATTTTTGTGGGATTGTAAAAAAAATTTACTTATACAAGTAAATTTTTTAGAAAATTAAGGGGAGATTATTCAAACAATATAATTAACTTGTATAAGTATATTTTATTTACTTCTTCAATTAAATAAAAATTACTTGTACAAGTAGTACCCCTGACTGTACGACAGTAAAAACTGACAGAAAATCTGGCAACGTATCTGTAGGTCTGACTGAGCCCCTGGCAAACGGGTGCAAGCTTTTTATACTCTGATGGACTTAACAGGGCAACGAACGGTTTAAATGGGGAAACGAACGGGAAACTGGAAACGTGCCTGATAAGTACGAAAAAGAATCCCCGATTGCTAGAAATAAGTACAATAAAACGTAAACGATATGTTAACGGAACATAAAAATAATCTTAGTACAATTAACAATCATAATTAATACTGTTTTAATACAATAATCATGTAAAAACCGATCTACAATCGCTATAGTATTCATACACTGTTTTGCGGTTGTGGTACATAATGTTCACCTGAGGTTACACACAGACAACCTAATTTGTATAATCAATACACAAAAATCACTGTGCTGGAAATGGCAGTTGATGTACGAAGGTGAAAGTTAGCTACATAAGTTATCTCGATTATACATAAATAAAAATGGTTGAACACTGGGAAAACAGAATGAATAGAACACTGAAAGCATAATGAATTGAATTTGAAAGGTAAGAACCGGTGTCAAACTTTAAAATAGCCAAAAAATCGACTCATAGCCGAAAGCAGGTGCTTGAAAGTACAAACACATGTTTCTCAAAGGAATTTCGCCTGGCCAAGTCATTACATTGGCTCAGTGTCCTCACGAAAACATACAATCATTATAAATAATTATGCTCATATTGTATAGAAAAATATAACTTCAACAAGAAATGATTGTAACAGGATGCTGTTACGAAGTCTCCCAAACGAAGCTCCCATAATTCGTAATTCCCAGGGTTGCCTGACATTGGGCAACGTCCAGTGAAAATTGGTTTGGTCCAGTAAAGTTATATGCATTAGTGATGCCTGGGGACTAACCTTGTATATCATTCAAATCATCTTGGCATGACAAACCAGAATATATATGGTTTAGGGGTGGGGATCTCGACCATTTACAAGATACTAGAACATTGGGGGTGGGGAGGAACCCCTGGGGACTGGCCCTATACGTCATTCAAATGTTCATTACATGACGAACAGGAATATATATGGTTTAGGGGTGGGGATCTCAACCATTTACAAGATATTAGAACATTGGGGGTGGGGGGAACCCCTGGGGACTGACCGTATACGTCATTCAAATGTTCGAGACATGACAAATAGGAATATATATGGTTTAGGGGTGGGGATCTCAACCATTTACAAGATATTAGAACTTTCTCAAATGGCAGGGGGTCAGGATGACCCCTGGGGACTAACCCTGTATATCATTCAAACCATCTTAGCATGACAAACCAGAATATATATGGTTTAGGGGTGGGGATCTTGACCACTTAGAAGATATTAGAACTTTCTTAAATGGCAGGGGTGGGGGTGACCCCTGGGGACTAACCCTGTATTTCATTTGATGTGCTTTATCATGACAAACCAGAATATATATGGTTTAGGGGTGGGGATCTCGACCATTTACAAGATATTAGAACTTTTTCAAATGGCAGGGGGTTGGGATGACCCCTGGGGACTAACCCTGTATATCATTCAAACCATCTTAGCATGACAAACCAGAATATATATGGTTTAGGGGTGGGGATCTTGACCACTTACAAGATATTAAAACTTTCTTAAATGGCAGGGGGTGGGGGTGACCCATGGGGACTAACCCTGTATTTCATTTGATGTGCTTTATCATGACAAACCAGAATATATATGGTTTAGGGGTGGGGATCTCAACCATTTACAAGATATTAGAAACTTTCTCAAATGGCAGGGGGTCAGGATGACCCCTGGGGACTAACCCTGTATATCATTCAAACCATCTTAGCATGACAAACCAGAATATATATGGTTTAGGGGTGGGGATCTTGACCACTTACAAGATATTAGAACTT